ATACACAAATCACAGTAGCATATCCAAGTACAGCTTATGCTCCCTTCAAACCTGTAATAAGCTTGCAAAGGTACTGTGCTTCTTTGTTAGGCTAAAACACGCACGATTCAATACTTGTAGTTTGTGGGAAGTTGTGTTGCTGACTCAAAAACTGTATCCACCAGCTGCTCTGGAAGGGAAAATAAACCATCCTCTTCTGTGTGATTTAAAGCCTTGGAAATTCACTGGAGGATCATCTCTGAATTGGTTCTGACTTGATGGCAATGAATTAGAGGGAATGTCTAAGGATGCTCCAGACAACTGGACTACCAAAAATGTCATCAATGTGGAAGATCCCTGAGTCTTTGTAGGATTACTCTCTTGATCTCCGGTATATGTTTATCTCATCAAGGAATCCTGAGTACCTGACCCTTCCTCATCACAGGTCTCATTTACATATCCTGAGTAAGAAGATGGTATTCTCTAGAATGTCTAGAATCTCTATCCTCAGAAGGAAATATTTTTTACTTGTTATCCTGGCAAAAGTGCATGTAGTTCCATGGGCTTCTATTGGGCCTTTCTGCCAATTGGCAAATATTCCCATTCTGATTATATTGTTTTATAAAAAGCGTATTTCACTTCATTGTGAAATAGATTTGCACCTATATCCCCCAATTCTAACAAAGATTGTTAAAATAAGAACTTAGAAACAGCCAAAATGTCCAACCACAACTGAATGGATTGAGAAATTGTGGTATATTCACACAACAGAACACTATGCAGAACTCAGGAGCAATTATTTAGAAAAATAGTACATAATTTGAGAGAGGCTGGAGCGCATTATGCTGACTGAACTCAGTCTCAATAAGGTCAAGACCTTAATTAATAAAATGGTCAATAAGACCATTATTTTAAAAATAGGTAACTAGTAAAAAATATATGGGAACCCAAGGGGGAGAATGGGTGGGAGCAGATGGGTGATGGGCAGGAGCGAAATCACAGGGTTGCAGAGTTGGGTGGGTGAGTGGGGGGGAGGAAATGTGAAAGATACATGTGAAAAGACTGAGTAATGACAGGCAAGGTCCAATGGTGATTACTTTTATAAAACCTGCATGGAAATGATTGTATGAAACACAATATGAGAAATAGTGTGAAACATAATGTATAGAACTTTGTAAGCAAACCAATAAATGGAGAAGACTGATGGTATTTTGGGTTCCTAGGCATACATATTATTCAGATCATGCATCTAACAGTCTTCAAGTAATTTCAAGTTATGACAATTAACTGAGTAAATGGTCACTTGGGGAAAAAAAGAGGTGTTGGTACTTGTGAGGTTGTTGTTATGTGCCGTCGAGTCGCTTGCGACTCATAGTGACCCTATGTACAAAGTAATTTGATCTTTCTTCTGAGAGCTGGACTACACTTAAGGCTAATAAGAGGTCACCGAGGAGCTGACGTTACGCAGCCTCAGGAGGCATGACATATATCATGGCTATGTAGGGAGACTAGTTAAGAGCTTGGAAGTTTCCTGGTTGATGCAAGGTATTTATACATGGGAGGACAGCACAGCTCTCTTTTGGAAACTGACACTCTATGCTGGGACTCCTCCCCAACATTACTCTATGTCTCTTCATTGTAGCCATTTTTGGAACTGTACCCTTTGTGAGTCATTCTAGTGAATTAATGCACTCACAGGGTAGTGAAAGTCAGCAGTCAGTATCTGTCAGTCTGAAAGATGTTCTTCTAACTTGTGGACTCTTATCTTAGTGGTCAGGGTTGGAAAAGGAGTTTTGTGTGGACTACTGGTGACAAGGACGTAATGCAAGGAAAGTGAAAACTGGTTCCATTTCTATCCCAGAGTTTGGCAATTGTGAAGTCTACCCACCTTGCCTTTAGTGGTGACTAACTATATGTATGTGCCATAGTACTGTTGTGTCAATTTTTATGACTTCTCAATTGACAGATTACTGGTTTAAGAACTATGTATACTTTCCATTGCCCTCATTATTCTTTATGTTCCTTAGTTATATATGTCAATACTCTGCCCAGCTATTTTGTTCTTAAAACCATCCATGTTTTATTAGTCATTTCCACTTTCATTTTATTACCCATTAATAATTTATGGAAAGTTACCCACTTCCCAGAATTAAGTGTTGTCATCTGGCCTCTGCTGTGGCAAGATCCTATCATCCCATGACTACTAGGAAAATCAGTTCTTTAACATCCTCCATAAGCTTCAAACTTCAGAGAGCAGCCATCCAAACTTCTCAAAGATGCTAGTGATATCATCATTTTGTAGATTTCTTATTGCTTGCTCGTGCACTTTGTCTCTCACCCACGCCCCCTTTCTCCTGAGTCCTCCTAAGGAACAGACTTTTGGTGTTATATAACAAATTTATTATTCACTTCCTCTGATCTTTTGATCTTTCCCCCTATGGGCAGCCATCTCTACTTTAAAATGCATCATTATTTTTCCTAAGCTCCCAAAAGTGACCCTAACAGCACATTAGAATCATCTCCTGAAGCTCTTGCTAGGATATAGGATATTAAATCCCAAGTCATAAGAAAATGGTTCCTCCTCTTATCACAAATTCTTTATGAATTCTATTCTAAATTCATTAAACCATCCATACAATCACGAATTTGTTTTCTAACACTCAGAATTTGAGATAAAAGGGCATTCTTTTCAAGGTTTGATAGCAAAATAAATATTTACCACTTTATAATGGTTATTTTTAAGCCGAAGAGCAGACTAGAAAAATACTAGATTTCCTCACAGTGACATGTTCTTGCTGAAGGAAAAAAACTCCCAAGAGGTAAGCCTAACATTGGTGAAAACTAGAATTATAGAAGTCTATCATTTTGGCTAGGAGCTACAAAGACAGAGGTGAATTCCATAGCAGTGCTATTCAAAGGCAGTACTACAGTTTTGTCCTAGTCAGCAACATGCCAAGTAAGAAATTGAGAATGTTTTAAAACTTGCAAGTATTTTCACATTGCTTTGATACTGAAGGATATGATCCTTTTAAACTTGTGTGGTACAATAAGTACTAAACATGAACAGTAAGAATATATACCGGTACACAAAGATTCTGATATTTAGGGGAAAAAACCCAACCCTGCTCTTTCATCAGATGGTTTAAGAAGAACTGGCCCAGAATTTCAAGTTTCAAGTATTTATAAATTCTAGAATAATTGATAAGAGTGTTTTAAACAGATAATAAACTGAGGTCAACTCATCTATGCCAAATATATAAAATAAAAACAAGGGGCCTGGGAACAAAGCGAAGTAGATTAAAGCACTTCTTTAGATTCTTGGAATTAGTCCACCAGAAGTGAGAATTTGTTTAAAACAAACAAAAACCGGCAGGACAGTAGGCAACAAGATTCAAAAGTAAAGGTCCATTTATTCTTCCTTCCCTCAATTCTTATGTAGTGTTTGGCTGGAGCTGACAAGGAGAAAATTTTGGTCATTCAGGTTTCATACTATCATCACAACTTTCCCTTTCCCATTAAGAGTAGAAGAGTCTTAGTTTCAGACCCGGGTTCATCCATTATCTGGGAAAAAGTTGCTAGACATGCCCAAATAGCCTGAAAAATCAGTAGTATATTCTGTGCCAATTCAAGGAATGAAAAGTTGTAACCCTAGATAAACTGGTGAGAAGTTCAAGGTGACTCAGATATGAATGTGAGTTTGCTCTTGTAATAGTTCTTTTTTGCATGCTGAACCAGGAGAACTAACTGTTCTGATCAGATTATCCACCAATATATGGCAGTCAAGGGTCAAGGACTACAGCCCAAGGGGTCTCACAAACGGCAAGGTCAGTTCAAAAAGAAATTGCTTAGAAAACATATGTTGGTGGACTAATGGTAAGAAATTACACTGCCAATCCAAAGGTACATGGTTTGAATCCACCAGCTGGGCCACAGGAGAAAGACGGGAAATCTCCACCCATGCAATTAAAGGCCTCTGAAAATCCGCTGGAAGATCAGCTATGAGTCAGTTTAGACTCAAGGGTACTTAATAGCAATAACAACAGTATTAGTAGTAGTAATGTAATGTGCTAAAATACAATGACATTTGAAGGGTAACCCAGATGGAAATATCCAGAAAGGAAATCTCTGTTGTCAAATGAGATGTAGACATCTGTGTAAAGGAAGGGGCAGGTTCCTTACCATAAACTGTTGGAATGTCAGGATTACAAGGCTATGAAAATCTGGACTGCTAACATTTGTCACTCTGTATCTTACAGATGATGAGGAAACCAGAAAAAAGACCGGGATGAGAAAGAAGCCACACCCCTCACTCTGAATTTTTATTAGACACTGCCCCATGGAGGCTACAGGAAAAGGGGCCCAGACTGTACCCTTCCCCCTTTCCCAAGCTACTTCCCTGAATCAAGGGACAGGAAATCAGAAGTCTCAAATAAACTAGAGTATCTGAGGAAGATCATTCATTTCCCAGACCTGATGCTACAATTATGTTTGCCAAGGATTAATATCATTGTGAGTGCTGACGGACATAAAACAGAAAAAGTATGGGTTCTTTGTCACAGCTTCAGCTCAGGAATAAATAGGTATTTTAAAAGTAAGGATTAAAAGGAAAGGCAGAAGGCAAAAAAGAGTTGGGGACTGAGTTTACCTAGGTCACACAGAAAAATATAAAGAACCAGAGCAGCAATTTGAGTTTGCAGGCTAGAACAGAGTTGGGGTCTCAGTACCCAAGAGAGAATCCCAGGGCTTCTCTTTCAACTTTACTATGATTAAATACAGTAAATTAGAAAGTCTGAAGGTGAGAGGGCACGATGCTAGAACTACACAGCTCCAGTCCAGGCTAAGTTCCTCTCCATTCCCAGGAGAACTGTAGAACTAAGAGTCACAGGACTCTGTCTCCATTCCTCAGTCCAAGACAAGGAATAGAGACAAGGCACAAAGACCTTGGGTGTTAAGGTGAACATCAGTGTGGCCATATATAACATTATTATACAGGACGAAGAAAAACATGCCCAAAAAAAGGGATGCTTTCCTTCAATAGGCTGGGCCTTTGCTAGCAGCAGAAACCACACTGGGTAGTGCTAACAAAAATGGCCTGTGGAACAGGTCGTATTCCTAGGAAAAAACCTCCACTGGTATGGCACAGTCTTGGATGGGATGGCAGAGAGTAGTAGGCAGATCGCTCTCACGGATGACACGCTTGCCTCAGCTCCCAATGGTTCTGCGGACTCCAGATGTTCCCCATGACTGAGAATCGAGGAGGCAAATGTGCAGTGTTTCACATGATCAGACACTGTTCACCACTTGCACCTGGTGGGCCCGACAGATTGAGGGCATCTAGGTCAAAGTTGAGGCCAGGAGGCTGGAGAAGAGATGAAGGGACTTAGATAACTGTTCTTATTTCAGGTAAGACCTTCTGAAGGTCCATTCTCAATAGTCACAGTTATCATTTTAGATGAAATCAATAGAGGTTACAGAATTCTGGAATCAGATCAAAATACAGGAGGAAAAGACATACTCACCATCTCCCCTGCCAGCTCTTTTGGGGGATGACCCAAGTCTTGTAGCTAAAAAATAAGGAAAGAGGAACATGAGTTAGGGGGAACCCCAAAAAGCAAGACAGCACCCCAGTAGAGGAAGCAGAGGTAGGATTTCTGGGATTTCTCCTGAGGGGTATGCTATGTGACTTCTCGTGCTCCCTCATCCACTCAGCTTTGGTGGCGTGGCATCCTTCCCCTCTTCCATAAAAACCCAAACAAAATGGCAGATGGAAAAAAGAGGACTTACCTGCTGCATAAGATCTAGCACCGTCTCAAAACGAGCCTTCTGAGTGGCTTCACTATCTGTTGGGGTCTCTGCCTCAAACTGCTCACATATCTTGCCCATGACACTGTGTTGCTCCTGATATTTTACAAACTGTTCTAGAGGTAGAGATTCCCGGTGACTCTGCAACCATTCTGGATACTAAGAAAATAGAGAATGGATAGTTAAGAATAAAATGAACAAGAAAAAAAAATTACATGAACAAGAAATAGGAAAGGGCAATAAGAACAACACTTAGAATATGAAGTAGAAGGGGACAAATGAAGAAAGAGCTAAATAAGCAAGTTCATCATGAGAGAACCAGCAATGGTTCTTGTGCTTGATCACTGGGCTATATAGTGCTCTCAATCACAGTTTGGCCAAACTTTTACTAAATAAGCCAATATATGGTCTCTGCTGTATATTTGTTTCAATTTTTATAAGACTTAAAACACAAAAATTTTTTTTGGTTGATTTGCCAATCCCTATTCTATAATACTTACTTCACACTTACTAAAATGTTGCCCTTTATATAACTAAAAAAACGTCTATGCCTACATGGACTTATCATATATAACTGAAAATGCACAATTAAGAGAACATAGATAAACCAGACAACTGAGACGTCCTAAAAATTAAATACTTATACGCATCAAAAGATTTCTCCAAAGGAGTAAAAGAGAACCTATAATTTGGGATAAAATATTTGGCAATGACATTATCTGGCAAGGGACTTTACTCTGAAATTTATAAAAACATATCTCAATTACAAAATAAGCAAAGAATGTAAAAAGACACTTCCCCAGAGAAGACATTCAAATGGCCAACTAACATATGAAGAAATGCTCAAGATCCTTAGGCATTCTCACTGAGTGGGAACTAACTCACAGCTGTCTTCCATTAGCTTTCCCAGGCTGTAACTTGCACAGGAAGAGATTGTCCATCTTTTCCTAGAGGGCTGTTAGTGGATTTTTTTTTGTGTGTTAGTGGATTTTAACTGTGAGAGAGGTATAGCCTTTGGGTTAGCAGTACAACTACCTATGAACTTTACCTCTAAAGCTCCCTCATTGGCTATTACAGAGATGCAAACCAAAACAATGAGACAGCATCTCACACCCACCCAACAACAAAAGAAATATTTAACAAGAATGCTGGTAAAAAAGTATGGTGAGATTGGAACTCTCATTCACTGCTGGCAGGAATGTAAAATGGTGCAACCACTAAAAAGCAGTTTAGGGTTTCCTTAGAAAATTGGGAATGAGGGAGCTCTGATGGCCTAGTGGCAAGAAGCTGCACTGCAATCCCAGAGGTATGTGGTTCAAATCCACTAGTTGCTCTGCTGGAGAAGGAAGGGCAATCTCCTCCTGTACCAGTCAGATATCTATGATTCGACGGTACACACAAAAAATAATAAAAATAAAATTTTAAAAAGTGTGTTTAAAAAAAAAAAATTGGGAACAGAAATTCCTTTTGATTGTCCAATCACTATTAGGTATATATCTAAAAGAATTAAGAGGTGTGACATGAATATATATGTACATCTATTTTCACTGCAGCATATTTACAATGGTGAAGAGATAGTAACAACCCAGGTGTACATCAACAGGTGTACATCAAATGAATGAATGGCTAAAGAAACTGGTATATTCATACAATGGAGTACTATGCAACACTAAAGACCAGTAAAAGAATTGATGAAACAATGGACACAACTAGTGGACATTACCCTAAGTGACATAAGTCACAAAAGGATAAATATATAAGAACACATATAAGTGGTTATAAAAATCGAGGAAACATTTACACATAAAAATTATTCTTGGATGGTTCCAGGGGTAGAAACATTGTTAGGTGTCAGTGAGGTTCAAAATCGGGAAGGGTGTATGCTAAGGTTATATCCTATCTCCATATCTTTTCAATCTATATGCAGAACAAATCATCTAGGAGGCTGGGCTCTGTGAGGAGAGTGTGGCATCAGGATTGGAGGAAAATTCATCACCAGTCTGCATTACGTAGATGACACACCCTGCTTGCTGAAACTGAGGAGGTCCTGAAGCGCTTGCTACAGAAGATCAAGGACTGCAGCCTTAAATATGGACGAAGCTCAACATCAAGAAAACAAAGATGCTCACTACTGGGCCAATTGGCAGCATCATGATAGATGGTGAAGAGATTGAGATTGCTGACAGCTTTAGTTTGCTTGACTCTACAATCAACACTCTTAGTTAACAGCAGTCAGGAAATCAAAAGACGAATTGCATTGAAAGAATCTGTTGTTAGGGACCTCTCCAGAGTACTGAAGAAGAATAACATCAGTCTGGAGACTAAGGTACGTGATCCAGGCCATAGTCTTTGCAATTACTTGCTATGCATCAAAAAGCTGGACAATGACTAGGGATGATAGAAAGAGAACTGATGACTTTGAGCTGTAGTGCTGGAGCAGAGTATTGAATATACCATGGTCTGCTAGAACAGGTTCATCTTAGAGAGGGCGAGACAAGGCTGCTCCTTGGAGGCAAGGATTCTGAAGCTTCATATGACATACTTTGGGCATGTTGCAAGGAGGTACCAGTCCTTGGAGAGGGGCATCATATTTGGAAGGGTGGAGGGACAGCACAGGAGAGGAAGACCCTTGATGAAATGGATTGATTCAGTGACTGGTGGTAGGTGTGTCAGAAACAATAAAAATTGGTACAGGACAGAACAGGGTTCAGAGATGTTGTACATAGGGTTGCGATAAATCACAAGCAAATTACCAGCACATAACAACTACCACCACTCACAGTGACCCTCTGAAAAACAGATCCAAACTTGTCCTGTCTTGCACCATCCTCACCATATCTGCTATTTTCCATTGTTACATTCATTGTGTCAAGCCATTCTGTTGTGTCTTCCTCTTTCTCTCTGACCCTCTAATGTCCCCAGCAAAATCAATCTCTTTTTCTAAGGAATAGCCCCACCTAACAACATGCCCAAACTATGTGAGACTAGTCTTATCATCTTTGTTTCAAAGGAGCATCCTGGTTGCATTTCCTTTAAAATAGACTTGTCCTTTTAGCAGTCCATGGGATAATCAGTACTCTTTCTCCAATAACACAATTAAAAACCATCAATTTGTCTTCTGTCATCCTTACCCACTATTCCAAATTTAGATAAATTGTAAGCAACTGAAAAGACCATAGTTCGGATCAGGTGCACCTTAGTCTTTAAAATGACATCCTTCTGGTGGCCTAGTGGCAAGAAGCTGCACTGCAATCCCAGAGGAACACAGTTCAAATCCACCAGATGCTCTGCCGGAGAAGGAGGCGCAATATCCTCCTGTATCAGTCAGATCTGATTTGACGGTACACGCACACAAAATAATAAAATTAAAAATAAGATAAAATAAAATAAAATGACACCCTTGCTCCCCAGTACTTTGGAGAAGTCTTTTACAGATTTTCCCAATGAAATAACTGTTTTGATTTCTTTATTGCTGGTACAGAGTGTATTGGCTATGGATACAAGTAAAATTAAACTGCTGACAACTTTAATCTTTTCTCCATCTGTCTACTTGCTGTTGTCTATTGGTTAAGTGGTGAAGATTATTTTCTTGATGTTGAGATGTAATTCACATTGAAGTCTGACAGCAAGTGCTTTAAGTTCACTTTCTGTAAGCACAGTTATGTCATTTGTATAATACAAGATTGGTGATGAGTTTTCCTCCAGTCCTGATGCCATATTCTCTTCAGAGAGTCCAGCTTCCAGAATGATTTGCTCAGCATACAAACTGAATCAGTATGAAGAAAGGCTATAACTCTGACCCACTTCTTTCTCAATTTTTAACAATGCAATGTTGTTTTATTCTGTTCTGACAACTGCTTTTTGGTCTGTGTACGGATTTTTATAAGTACAATTAAGTGTCTGAGATTCTCATTCTTTGCAATAATAACCATTATTTGTTATGATTTACAGTCAAATGCCTTTGTATAGTCAATAAAAAAAAACACATTATTCTGGTATTATTGGCTTTCATCCAAGATCATCTTATATCAGCAATGATACCCTTTGTGCCACAGCCCCTCTTCTGAATCCAGTTTGAACTTCTGTCATTTCTGTATCAGGGTTATTGTTCTGGTCATTTAAAAATAATCCTCAGCAAGATTTTACTTGCATGTGATACTAACGACATTGGTAATTTCCACACTTTTTTGGATCACCGTTTTTTAGTAATGGGAACAGATATGGGTTTCTAGTCATTGGTCAGTTAGTTGTCGTCCAGATTTCTCGGTGGACTGATGATCCAGGGTTGCATCTGTTTTCCTAAACACTTCAACTGGTATTCTATTAATTCCTGGGGTCTTATTTTTTGTCAAAGTCTTCAGTACAGGTTGAACTTCTTCCTTCATCATTACTGGATCCTGATTATATAATACTTCCTGAAATGGTTCCCTGTCAGCCAATTCTTTTTAATACAGTGATTCATTGTAATCCTTCCATCTTCTTTTGATGCTTCTTGCATCATTCAAGATTTTGCCCAATTTTTTCAATACTGCAACTCGAGGCTTGAATTTGTTTAGTTCAGCTAAAAAAATGGCCAACTGTGATCTTTGTTTTTGATTTTCCAACTCCAGCTCTTTGCACATTTTGTTCTAATATTTTATCTTCAAGTTGCTATTTGAAATATTTATGTTTTACTTCAGCATTCTTCATTTTGTTTGGCTTCCTGATGCTCATGCTCTAAGACAATTTTTAGAGTCTTCTGACAGCCATTTTAGTCTTCTCTTTCTCCCATCTTTGTAATGACCTTTTGTTTTGCTCATGGATGATATCCTTGATAACACTCTACAACTCACCTGGTTTTTGATCATTAGTGTTCAAGACATCAAATCTATTCTTGAGATGGTTTTTAAGTTCAGATGGGATAGTCTCAAGGTCGTATTTTTGTTCTCACGGGCTTATTTTAATATTTTCCATTTCAATTTGAACTTACACATAAGTAATTGGTTGTCTGTTTCATAGTCAGCCCCTGAGGTTGTTTTGACTGCCGAAACTGTACTTTTCCATTGACTCTGTTGATAGATGTATTTACTCAGATTTGTGTACAGTCCATCAGGTGAGGTCCTAGGTACCAAGTGTTAGTTGTTTATTTTAAAATATATTTGCAATAGGCAAATTATTAATTGTAAAAATTCTATCATTTGAATCTCTTACCTCATTTCTCTCCTTCAAAGGGTCGCTATGAGTCGCCTGCGACTCGACGGCACTTAACAACAATAACATCAACATAGAGGGAGAGATCAGCTGGCCCAGTGGACAGAAGGCGACGCTACTGAGCCGAAGGTGGGTGACTTTTAATCTGTGGCCCTCGGGCCTGTCTTTCATTGTTTTTTGTTCAAACATTCCTTTAGGTCGTATAGCCCTGGTGTACAAGTTGCCGTACAGCGGTAACTTTGTGGTTGCTGTGAGGCTGAACACTGTGACACTGATGTGTAAAATGCATTAAAGGCTGGTTACCCAATGTGAACAGAGAGTGGGGTGGAGCTGCCCGATTAAAACAGTCTTGGAAGGAGGAGTGGCATCCATTTTCTAATAGCTTGCCTCCGGAAACCCTATGAACCTGGAGAGAGGATGAGAGACACCCAAGCGTTGAGGACTCTTCTTCATAGGTTTCGATGAGTCGCCTGCGATTCAACAGCACTTAACAACAACAACAACCTCATTTCTGGGAGGGAGTCAATTATGGAAGTGAAAATTAGTAAGTAAAAAATATGCATATATTAAGATAAGTAAAGGGAAAGGCAATATCCAATAAGCTGATGATCAATACATTATTACTAAAGAAAAAGAAAACACAGAATTAGAAAAAGACTAATAGAAATCAGGTTACAGGAAGTGAGAAAGTACAATTGGATCATGAGTACTGAAATCAACGTTATTGAACAAAATGTATAAGAATGGTTGAATGAAAAATTAATTTGTCTTGTAAGCCTTTACTCAAATAACAATTAGTAAAATCTAATAAAGGTAACTATAATATCTGAAAAAAAGAAAATCAATAAAAAATGTCTATGACTGTATTTTCTCTCCAGGAAAACTAAGTTCTTTGACTAGAGGGGACAACACTTAAACTACTCTTATGAAGTGATCATAACTTAAACTACTTTTAAATTGCTCATAGTACAGTCCTGAGAACCTCTGCAGGTTACGCTCTGTGAATTGCTGTTGGAGAAATACAGGAAGATAGGAATGCAAAAAGGGACTGATCAGACAATGACACACAATCTTGAACTAGGTTACAGAAAATCAGAACTCAAGTCTCTCCCTTCTCCCTACAGAGATCTTCACCATGGTAACACTGATCTCTCAGAAATGTAACCTCCTCAGCCTAACAAACCAAAAAACACAAAACCCAACCACTGTGGAACAGCCTGTGGATTTGAACTGCCGTGGAGGCACACAGCCTGTGAGTTAGCAGTGCAACTCCCTACTGACTAGACCAGTGTTACCCAGCCAACCTAAAATATCCCAAATAAATAAAGGAGTAAAAAAAAAACAGGGGGACTTCTAAATTCAAGTTACTCTATCTCTGCAGGCCCTCAGTATACAAGTTGATACAATGAAAAATAGGAAAAGCAGAAAAGGAGATTCACAAACCTTTTCTGTGATCTCTTTCAGTGAAGGGTACAGCACATCCTTAGACAGTAAATTCTGCATAATACTTTGCATGATGGGGAGGATGTTCCCTTCTCCATCTCCTTCATCCATGCCGAGCCCCTCCATGGCCTTGTTCAGCTCCTCTTCTGACATACCTGAGTTCTAAGAAAGGATAAGAAAAAAATGAGCATAATGATTTCTAGAAATGGCTTACTATTCTTTCACTTGGGATAAAAAGCAGCCCAGAGAAAAATTATATAAATTTGCCTGTTTCAAAACAATGAGACAGGGTGCACCAGTGCCAACATGTGCTCACATGCGGAGCCTCACACCCTATGCCTCCCAGTGCGCCCCAAGGTGACCCCCACTGCAAAAAAAAAAACCCCAAAAAACAAAACAAAACCAAACCCCCCAAAACCCCAACTAAACCCAAAAACCAAAATGAGGCAGGGGCAGACTCAGGATGATACTCATGATTCTGTTTCTTGAGACACTGCTACTTAAGGTATCCGAGAGTAGGCCCAAAGTGGTCCCCCTCTAAACCCTTACCTGCAGATCAGTGGCATTTTTGGCTAGTCCACTGAGTGTCTCCTTTAGGCAAGAAGTGAATTCTTGTTGGGAAGTTGCATCACTGCCTAGTAAAGATCAAAGATGCAAGGTCATCTAGATGTTTTACTGTCTGCTTGACTTAAATAATGTACTTACTTACCAGCTGGGATACGGATAGGTATTAAGGAATCACTATCACCTAGAATTTTTAACATCTCTGGAAATATTCACAGTTATATTTATAAATCTGTACAGACTATGTGCTTGTTTATTCTCTATGATGACCCTCAAAAGAACAATGAAACCTTAATGGTCAGTTGTAAATAAGCTTTTTTCTTACTCGGCTCTTATCACTCTTTACATAAAACAAGATTCCCATCTTCTTAGTCCACCCTACAAGCTTGACATCTTCACTGCTATTGATATTATTAAGAATTCTATTGTTTTCAAGCAGAAAGGACTAACATATTTTAGCTGTGTGGGGTCCCCTTCTCACCAACTCTCCCTGCAGCCTCTGAGAGCTTCTGGAACTGCTCCACTAGGTGGGGCTCTTCCTCAGCCAACTCCTTCATGGCCTTCTCAAACTCTGCTGTGGCTTGGGAAGCCAACTCACTGTCAAACAGTTCCTGGAAAAACTTCTCTTGAGAGGCGAAGAGAGCATCCTGCAGGAAAAGTTGGACAAAATGTGTCTCTTATTTAGCACTTCACTGCATTCTGGAAAACACAGCGCCTCCCTCCAACTCGCCTCAGCTTAAAGTTCTTACTACTACTCCAGATGAGAACAGCAAAAAAGACAACCAGCCACTGAGGGCATAGGATAGAACAGCATGGCAATTTAATAATTTCAATCTGCTCTTTTCTCAAGGAACTTCCTTAGGATTCCTCCACGCAATTTCAAGCCCCTGTTATACAAGGACTGGATTCCCCAGGAATATTCTGCAATGTAAGGCCCAAGGCCTACTCCTCCCACTCCTCTCTGGCTAAAGGGTCCTGCCCCATCTCCCTTCTAAACATGCCCATCCCCTCTCCCTCCCTTAATGGAGTAAAATTTGTACTTTGGCAGTGTCTCCTGGCGATTTCTTCTGGGGCCCTGAGGCATCCGGAGCTGTGGCGATAGGTGGGGGTGCCAGGGAGGGTTTGGCTTTATCGAAATCATCAAGAGCACCTTCAGAGACAAGAGAGATAGTGTGTGTGTGGAGGATGAGTAAAAAAGACAGACTGGGTGGTTTGCAAGTAAAATATTTGAAGAATAATATTTCAAGGTGCCACCTTCCCTGATTATTTTCCACTGTTTAAATCCCAGCCTCCCAGTCTATCAGTCAGTAAGCTTCTCACTTTTCTCCCATTACCTAATTTGTTATAATTTCTTTTTTTAAAAAAAATCTCTTTGCAGAGGATAAAGTACATCTCCATTTACAGTGCGCTTTCCTCACCACACATTAATGGTTTCCTAGAAATACCACACAAATGGACAACAGGAGCAGAGAATATAGATGGTCCTGTTGCTCTGAATTCACTCCTGAATCCTAAAGAAGAATCAATAAAATATCCCTCAAAGCTTTTCACTGGTCCTGATATTAGTACAAATTGAGAGGCTCCCTGAGTATTTAAGGAGACTGTGCAGGAGGCCATCAAATGCTCTTCCTGTAGCTTCCAATTGAGTGCTTCCTCAGCAAAGTTTCTCAAGTTCCCTCTGGTCCCATCTGTGCAAGTCACAGACCCTCTTTCGCACTCCTCCTTTCTCTTCATTGCTCGTCTTTCCACATGTCTGTGGCAGGGCAAGAGTCACACCTGTGTCGCCAACACCACTCTGCTTGCCAAGCCTTGGGGGAGGGCACTGGCCTCAGTCCTCAGCCGAGGAATAAAGGGCAGAGAAGAATATGCACTACTTTTCACAAGCGTGAACTGGATTGCCCTGGGGGCTGGCTCATCTTCAGTGTCTCAAGAAAATGGGCGAAGAGTTCGCTTGCTGACATGGTGAAATAACTGGAAAAGAGCCGAGTGAGAGAAAGGTGAAAGGACTGCGGAGAGACAAAGGTCTTTTGCTAAAAAAAACCTATCGGACAAAAGCACCGAAGGAAGTGCTACAGGCTTTTGAAAAGTTGACGTTAGTAATCCGAGAGTGTCCTCCTGTTCGTTTTCCACCCTTGACAGACAGAATGCAGCCGGCGGGACTTCAAGAACTTCTTAATCTAAGGAGAGTTTGGAGAGAAATCGAGTAATACCGTTTCCCTCTCGGGCAGGGAGATCAACAGTCTGGGTCGTCAGGGGCCAAAGGTGAGCTCCTAACGTTCGCGGCGAAGGAGCGAGAGGGTGACTCCGAGATTTTCTTCGAGTTACAGTCAGACCTCTGCCCACGTCCAAGCTTTGGAGAACATCTTCCGCTCAACCCGAAACACTTCAGGCCCACTTAACGCCCTGAATGAGTCCTCACATTCACACCCCCTCCGGGTTTTACGTCTTATTAGCTCTTACTTTCCAGAAGCTCTTCCAATTCTCGATCCGCGTCGGCTCCAGGAGCACCGCCATCCTCCGCGGCGGCCATGTTGCACCTCCGGCTTCCCGTAGAGGGCGGGACTCCCCTGGCCTCCGGATCAATCCCGCCCCCTTCTGCCTTGCGCAACCAATAGTATTGGTGGCGAAACCGGAGCCGCCATTTTTAAAGGGACAGAGTGGTTTGCGCTTTTTTTCCACCCTTAGATCTATCCCGAGGGCAACTTGGAAGTCTCTTCTGGTTTTTTACAGAACTAGTTTGCGTTGACCAGATGACTAAGGAGGGTAGAAGGAGAATTGATGCAGCTTTCGTTCTGGACTCCTATCATGACAATAATACCTAATCACATATCCCTTTTAAACAGTTTTCTCCCTCACCTATTTCCATGCAGTATACATTATTGAACCCATCTTTCTCAGTCTCTTCCCAACCCTGATGTCAGTCCTGTTTTACAACAGTGACACTATGCAGTATTTGTCCTTTTGTGACTGAGATATTTCACTCGGCATGATGTCCTCCAGGGTCACCCATTTTGAATAAAATTGCATCCGTTCTTTGTTTTTCAATGCAGCATAGTATTCGATTGTGAGAATATACCACAGCTTCTCTATCCATTGTTTGTTGATGGACACTTAGGTTGTTTCCAACTCCTTGCTATTGTGAACAAAGCCGGGTGTGCATATATCTGCTTTGGTAGCAGTTATGGGGGGAGGGATTGTAAAACAATGAAAGAATTTTACTTTTCAGAGAGAAGAGTGTACTAGGGCGGGGGAAGGGTGGGCAGGGAGAAAAGTGCAACAATGAATAAATGAAAATCCAAAGTCTCTGTAAATTTTCATTAAAATTAATAATAATTTTTTTTTTGTTAAAAAGAGAAGAATTGATGCCTTTGAGCTGTGGTGCTGGAGAAGAGTATTGAATGTACCACGGACAGCTAAGAAAATAAAAAAGTTCATCCTGGACAGGGTCAAACCAGGCTGCTCCTTGGATGCAAGGATTCTGAGACTTGTTTAACATACTTTGGACATGTTGTAAGGAGGGGCCAATCCTTGGAGAGGGACATCATTCTTGGTAGGGTGGAGGGACAGCACAGGAAGGGAAGACCCTCTATGAGGTGGATTGATTCAGTGACTGGGGTAATTGGGGTGGGTGTGTCGGGAACAGTGAGATTGGCACAGGACAGAGCAGAGTTTAGGGCTGTTGTACTTACAGTTTGCGTTGAAGCAGCACTGGTGTGTGGTGTGTTGCTTTACTAAGCAAAAGATCAACAGTGTGACTCCATCAGCAGCTCTGCACAAGAAAGATGGGAAGTCTTCTGTTAAGATTTACAACCTTGGAAGGTTGTTAGGAGTTTAAATTGACAGGGTGGTACTAGGAATCTCTTCTTTGTTTTTGTTTTTGTTGTTGTTACATGCTGACAAGTCGCCTGCCATTCATAGTGGCCCTATGTACACAGCCCTAAACCCTTCTCTATCCTGTGCCAATCTCACTGTCTCTGACACGCCCACCCCATTACCCCAGTCACTGTATCAATCCATCTCCTTGAGAGTCTTCCTCTCCTCCACTGTCTCTCCACCCTCCCAAGCATGATGCCCTTATCCTAGGATTGGCCCCTCCTTGCAACATGTCCAAAGTATGTCAGATGAAGCCTCAGAATCTTTGCCTCCAGGGAGCAGCCTGGTTTCACCCTCTCTAGGCTGAACCTGTTTGTTCTCCTAGCAGTCCATGGTATATTCAATACTCTTCTCTAACACTGCAGCTCAAAGGTATCAATTCTCCTTCTATTGTCCCTAGTCATTGTTCAGCTCTCTGAGGCATAGCAAGTGATTGCAAAGACCATGGCCTCTATCAGGCACACCTTAGTCTAGACTGACATCATTGCTCTTCAGTACTTTATAGAGGTCTCTAACCGCAGACTTTCCCATCGCAATCTGTCTTTTAATTTCCTGGCTGCTGGTGCCAAGAGTGTTGATTGTAGAGCCAAGTAAACTAAAGCTGTGAACAATCTCAGTCTTTTCACCATCCATTATGTTGCTGCCAATAGGCCCAGTGGTGAGAATCTTTGTCTTCTTGATATTGAGCCTCAATCCATACTGAAGGCTGCAGTCCCTGACCTTCCTCAGCAAGCATTTCAAGTCCTCCTCAGTTTCCCCATTATCTAGATAAGTTGCTCTGTTATTACTTTTCAAACTGTGAGTAGGCCACATTTGGACAAACTGACAACTAACTAAAAGCCACACCTAATATCTTTTCTCCCTATCTATTCAGTCTATGCTGAACAATTCATTTGAGAAGCTGGAGTATAAGAAGAATAATCTGGGTCTCCATATTTCCTTTCAAGGAGGGAAGTCCATCCCTTTGAGATGTAACATCCTAATAAACCTATCTTTACTTTTAATCTTTATTTCTGCTTCTTTTTTCTTTTCAGGCTCACATGTTAACAAAAACCTCCAGACACACTTTAGTGTTCCATGCACTAAAGTCTGCTCTCCCAAGAAACCCTAAAATGGCTATACATGTGTTACTTATGCTCTACCCTCTTCTGCCTGGCACATTTCCATTGCGTGTGCAGAAGGGGAAAACTAGGCCACAGAAATCCAAGATAATTTGAGGGGATGGATTTTCTACCACATCAAGGTAGAAGCAAACGTTTAATTGGTAAATGAGAAAAATGCCGGTTTGGGATTCTTGGCCAACATGCTTAGGAAAGGCTTAGAGTACATACAGTAGCAGGCATTCTGTTTTCTCTCTGCTCTGTTCCTTTGGTAGGGAAACAGCTTTCTAAGGATAGTTGGTTTGGGTGGTTCTCCCTGCCAAGTCATTGGGAAAGCAGAGGAGTAATACATGCTTTTCTTTGCAAGCAGAGTAGGAATTCTTCTTCTGAGCTATTAAGTACAGCAGGATTCCAAGATGGGCACCCCATCCATATCACATTTCCAAGATGGCATGTACCCTTTGCAACATGTGACTAATCCAAGATGGCACTATCAACTTAGAACTTACTGTCATAGATTATGCTCATAGTGACAGTCTCCTAAATTTGTACCTATTTTGTTTCTTTTCTTTTGATTGCTATGACTTTACATTTTACCCTTAAATCTTTAATCCACTTTAAATATTTGCATGTAGTGTTAGACATGAATTCCATTTCCATATTTTGTCATTTTGCTCTTGTTTTCCATCTAGCAAGTTTTGTGTCTTTATTGGATATCAACTAACCACAGTTCAAAGGGTTTCTGCATTTCCAATTTAAGTCATCTGGCTTGTGTGTCTCATGCTTTACCATTGCCATGCTGTTTCAGTTGCTACTGCTGTTTTTAAATCAGGGAGTATGCTGCCTTGTACGTCTTTATCTACTCCCTTGAAAAATAAACTTGGTGGAAGGTGCAAACTCACTATGCAGTCCAGAAGCAATACTAGCCAAGTGCACAGCAAATACACTTTATTTGAAAGGCATACTTACTATGAAAGCTGGCTAAGGTTCAAATGGCATGAGCACTGAAAAAGAAAAGAGTTGGGTATTTATTCATTCTACATTGGTAAGTTGGGGTGGTCACAGCAGATTTAAGGGCTAGGGGCAGGGGAGGGGGCACATTTTCCATTATTTCAGCCCTCCCTGTGTTATCTCCTGGGGAGGGTCATAAAATTATGTTAAGGGGTAAACTGTGATGACATTATTTACTATTTCTTAGAACACGCACAGTAGGGTCAGAAGTCAGCAAAATGGAATCGCTTTGGTTTCAACCTTATTTATACCTGATAAAATTGTTCTTTTCACAATGTTGGGACTATCTTTCCATTTAATTAGGCCTTCTGTTGTATATTATAGTAGTATTTTGCAGTTTTCCTTGTGTGACTTTTTCATGCCTCTTGTTGGTTTTGTTACATGCAATTGAGATGCTTGCAACTCATAGCAACCCTATGTCTATGCACAACAGCTCTAAACCCCACACTATACTGTGCCAACCTTATTGTCTATGCCCATTACTCCAGTCACTGAATCAATCCATCTCATCTAGGGTCTTCCTCTCTTGTGCTGTCCCTGCACACTCCCAAGCATGACTTCCCTCTCCAAGGACTGGTCCTTCTTTGCAACATGCCAAAGTATGTCAGATGAAGCTTCAGAATCCTTGCCTCCAAGGAGCAACGTGGTTTCACCCTCTCTCAGACAAATCTGTTTAATCTCCTGTTCAATATTCTTCTCCAGCACCACAGCTCAAAGGCATCAGTTCTCCATCACCCCTAGTCATTGTCCAGATTTCTGACACATAGCAAGCAATTGCGAAGACAATGGCCTGGATCAGGAGAGGCATCCACTTCCTAAACAATATGCCTCTGGAAACCATGAACTTTGAGAAATGACAATATAGAAAGGCTTTAGGTATTTTGCTCATAGGGTTCCTATGAGTCGTGCTTGACTTGATGGCAATCAACAACAACATGGCCTGAATCAGGCACACCTTAATCTCTAGACAGGCATAATAGCTGTGCAGTACTCTGGAGAGGTCCCTGACAGCGGACTTTCCCAAAGCAGTTCATCTTTTGATTTCTTGGCTGCCTCTAGCTAAGTTTATTTTCAGAGTTTTTATCTTGTGATTGGCTATTGTTAAGGGAAGTGAGAAATAATGGCTTCTATGACCATGTGAAAAGACAATGTGGTGGTTATTGGTTCTTTTGAAGGGAAAGAAAATAGTTCAGCCTTAATTTAGAAGGTCTTTCCCCCCCTTCCCAGAATAAAGAGTAAGACGTCTTGTTTTATAACAGCAATGTAATACAGTATTTGTCATTTTGTGACTGAGATATTTCACTCAGCATAATATACTCCAGGTTCACCCATGTTGTCTAATGTGTTAATTGTTTTTCAATGCTGCATAATATTTCCTTCTGTGAATGTATCATGGATTTTCTATCAATTTGTTGATGGGCACTTGGGTTCCTATTGTGATAAATGCAGCAATAAACAAGCATGTGCATATATCTATTTTGAGTTGTGGCTCTGGTTTCTTTAGGGTATATTCTCTGTAAGGGAATTGCTGGGTCAAATGGTATT